GTTTATGATGCACCCTGTATATTGGAAAGTAATTTTAGAATGTGGACCTTTTAAACGTGAAAAGCTTTCGTTGGACGAATTTTCTTGTAAACTTCATATTTACTGAGATATCGCACTTTGACGCACTAATGAGCAACCCTGTATATTGACTTACGTCGTCATCGTATGAGAAATTGCCGATCGGGCAGCATTCATTTGAATCTAATCCTTACAAGCTCCGCCCAGGATGTAGCTTCGAAACTTCATGAAAATCTTCCTTTGCTCTTAACATGGAACAATAAAAACCTTTTCAAATCAACCTAAAGCACTGGATCTTCTTTGTGCGATGCTTCGTTCAACCGTCATCCATAGGGGCAGGTCTATCACCTGATATCTCCATCCGAATTCGCCTTTTAATGGGCGCGAACGTCTTAACTTGCCGTTAAAGTGAACTTTATTATACGTTATTTGATATTCCATGCATTGAAGAAAACTTCACGGTCTTTTATTCGTCAAGACGCTATTCTTTGCCTTATTGTCGTTTGACATTCAAGAAGCGATTTCCGCTCCAACAGGTAATGGTAATTGTGAGAAGTTTCATAGACCGATGGTGTCGCTCTTCACTTCGCTTGATGTGATCAGACCTAACCAGCTTTTTTAACTCAGTTAAACCGGCCAGTTTGATCCTGTATATTTAGTGTCGAGGATTGTACACTTATCTAATAGTGCCAGCAAACATAGTTATATTCCGCATATTAAAATGGTAAACAATAAAACATGTGCATCTGATTTTCCTAGCAAACAAACAATGTTCACTTGGAAGCAAATTGATCTTCATGAACGTTGGCGGTCTCACATTTAATTTTACGTTTTATGATCTGTTTTAATGTTAGCTAGTACTATTAGTGCCTCGTTAACAAACAAACAGCTCTGACTGTTTACACGCCACTGAACTTAGCTAGAAAGGAACACCTGGACGAGGATGCGCGATTTCTCTTCAAAGAACTGACCTAACTCTAGTTATCCCTATTAGCTGGATGGACGATTTCGTATAAAAGGACGATTGCCGACTTTGGAACGTACGCAAAGGGACCGTCCATTGATGCACGCTATGCCTTCTACTAAAGGACCCTAATTATGTCGGTTTTTCCAACATAATTAACTAGATTTAGGTTTGAAGATCGCATTACGTATAAGTCTGATATCGCTCATTTTAACCATGCGTTAAAAATATTGTATTATACAGCTGAGCTTGGTCAAATTATTAGTTTAATTTTATCTTAATTTATTAATAAACCGTTGGCATTTTCAATAACATAACTCAGTTATCGGCTGTGATAACTGCGAAAAATATAAAAATGAGAACAAAACCAGATACACCTATCTTTTAAGTTCCATTTAAGGGGCACAATACCGTCACTGCAAACAAAACGAGTCTTTCGAAAATGTCAAAAGCTTACATGCCGATGGTTCCTCCAGATGGGTTCATCGTGGGACAATCCGACGAATCACATTCACGCACATTCAGGATGCTGGTAGTCAAGATCTTATCGTCGTTGTTTGATGTTTCTAAGTGTGTTGATGATGTAGTTTGAATTTAATATGTTCAGGTGGGTTGTCCTTTTGTTGGTGGAGGTGTTCAGATCCAATGAGATCATATTTAAAAAATTACTCGTTGGATTGTCCAAGTGGCACATGCACAGTGGTTACATTGCCAGAAAATGCCTAAAATGTGATGTAAAATTTGCACATTTAGGCCAGGAGGGTTACAGATTGGCATAGCTCTAACGTGATGTAACTTAAATTCGCCCAACAGAAAAGTGTCAACAATCGCATATAACTCGATGGGGTTGGGATATTTTGTCTTTGTCAAATAAATAATTTTAAATCACCTTGTTCTATACCTACTTCTTTGCACTTTCGAGCACTTTGCAGCGAAGATTTCCGAAAAAAAAACGCGATTTTTACATTTTTTCCACTTTTTTACATTTATTAACCTATGCCTTAATTATTCTCAAATTAACTACTTAAAGTCGCTTCCTTTTGCTTGACATCTTGCTCGTCTAAAACGTCAAATGCCTAAATAAATGTATTCCCTACACGTTGGCAATCATAATACGCAATTTGCAAATATACTTCATTATTCTATCAGTCTATGAATAATCAAGTAATCTTTGAAGATTACATATGAAAGCGTCGAATTTCTTCTGCCTTGATGTTCGCACAAGGCAACTCCCCTATGTGTATTCTTATTTTTTAATCATGATATAATGGGTCTACTCGACTGCTATGCATGGTTTAACAGCAATTTTTTTCATATGAAAATGTCAATGTGGATAAAGCTTCGTTCGTGGCAACATCTACGTTGACTCTTTTAAATGTCACTAATGTTGATGGACTGTGTCAGATTAACAATTTTGACATTTCACAACATTGTCAGATTCTGAACTCTTCTTTAACCACATGCTAGTTATTAAACATATTTATTTCTAGAGAAGACCATCCATTTCCATTAGTATACAGGGTGATTCAAAATTGGCGTCATTCCTTTTAAGGGGTGATGGAGGCTCACTTGGGGACTACGAGAAAAATTTAGAAATTTTTTTTTTCGAAAATTTCTAGAAGATATTAACAGTTGAAGATCGAATTTCAACTTTGCTATTAAGCATTATTTTGAAATTGCTCCATGTTTAATTGGTAGCATATTGGAATATTTAAGCATTCAAAAAGAAAAATTACGATCTTTGCTTCAAATTACGAAACTTTTCGATATTGAAAAAGTTATGTTCTACAATTCTTTGATGAAAAGGCACAGCGGTAATGATGTTTTTTGCCATTAACAGATAGTTACAGGCCTTGTCAATAATAACAATAATTTGTCAAACTGTGACTTACTTTGAATTTTCTTTCACGAAATTGCGGATATGCGATTAGTTCGTTACCTTGAAAAACATTGCTGCCGTATTTCCGATATAGTTTTTTCCAAATTTCTCAGTTTTTAATAACAATTAATTTCTTTTACTAGTTTTTCTGTACTCCTATAACACCGCCAGACAACACCCCCAGAGGAATGACGCCAATTTTGAATCACCCTGTATAGCTACCTGGGTACTCATGCTGAGCCCTCTTTAATAAAGGGCCAATCATATAAATTATTAAAATTTGCCCCACTTGTAAATCTCATTCACGCATAACTAGAATAGTTGGAGTAGAAGTTATTTAATTTAATCGCGTACGGTGTAGTTCATTATTAAAAATGGAACTTATCAACCATCAACTCTCTCGCAGGAAGTTAAAAATCAATTTTTTGTAAACTTTAGAGTTTTGGTGTTTTGTTTTGTAGGTTTTGGAATAACGGTGGAAACTTGAAACGTCTTGTACTTTCAACATTCAACAATTTAAATGTTATTCTTACAGTAAATTACATGAGGGACTTTTTGATGTTAATTGTTAGAAAATGTTCCCACATTTCACAGGCGACAACAGGAAAAGGCAAATTTTCGTCCCCATGTATAATCTGCTCGTTGAAATTGCATCAGTTAATCAGTAGTGCTATCATGGACCAAATAGGTGCCCAAAACTCCCACGAACAGGGGTTGGAAAACAATATCGGATGGTGATGTATTACCATATGTTAGCGCGATATAATTAGGGCGAAGAATTAGGGTTGACGCAAAGTACTTTGTACGATTTACAACTGCAATAGACAATAGACAAAAGAAGCACAGTTCATTACTGTCTTACTACAACTCGTTGTAAAATTATGCAATAACAGTTCTGTTTGAGGTTAGTCTTCAAATCTGACTGGAATCTGACTTCAGGTTCCACTTAAGTGGCACTTCATCTTCCCCTTAAATAATTTGCCTGTTAAGGTTCGCCTTAACGCTAGGTGACARTGGTGCAAACGAATTCTGTCACTTAACTGTCACTCGTATGTTAAGGTGAGCCTTAATGCTAGGTGACAGTGATGCAAACGAATTCTGTCACTTAACTGTCACTCGTATGTTAAGGTGAGCCTTAACGCTAGGTGACAGTGGTGCAAACGAATTCTGTCACTTAACTGTCACTCTTATGTTAAGGTGAGCCTTAGTGGTGCAAATGGCCGTTAAAGAATAATTGAAAGTTGCAGAAAAGTCTTGATCTAATGTTTGTGTGGAAGCCAAGTTAAAATATGCTTTTCCCCATTGATTAAATTATCTAATTAAAATGAACCTGAAAGATTATTAAATATTTTGCTATCGAACTATTCACGTGCATGTGTTGCTCCGTGGCCCAGCAGGTTTCCCACGCTACTCAGCAGTCATCAGTTACTACTCTGCAGGAATGACGTGGTGATTGCCACCCCAAAGTGAAAACAATTTATTATTTGTGATTCGGGGGCTAATCAGGATAAATATCGGTAACTACTGATCAGACCAGATGACGCTTCCCGGTCTTTTCCTGTATGTAAAGGGATGATAGCTGCAAATGCGGTGCTGTCCCATATGGGCCGCTGGTGCTTGGGAACTTATATTACTTTAATAAGTATCTGATGGGCTACTTTACGCGAATGATGTCGTTTGGTTAAATGAACGATATTATTTCGCCTATTTTAAGATATCTAAATCCCTGTCGATCAACATACATATAAGGATATTTTTCTATTTATATTCCAGTATTCCATTCAACAATTGGCGTACTGCAGCAAATCCAACCTATTGTTATATTAATTCCCGTCTATCTGGCATTGCCGTGTTATCAATACCACTTGAAAGACTGATTGAATTTGTATTTCGGCCACTTAACGCTAGTCCATTAGTCAACAAGATAAAGAAAGTCAGTTTGGTGAAGTGTGCTTTTCCTCTTTAATGTAAAGGGTTTGCTGGAATTTTAAAATCAACAAAATCCGGTTGATCGGTCAGACCGAGTCAGTTATAATTAGCATTTTCCCAGAAAGAGAGTGAAGATGATCAAATACGTAAAACTACATCGTCAGCGTTATGTTTTCCGTCCATTCAAGTGCGCTTGATGTAACTTAATTGATAGCTTAGTTATTCATTCATTATTCTCATCGACCTTTAAACTCTAGCTAATGCAGCCAAAAACTGCAGTAGAAAATAGTTAGCTTTACTTTGGATAAATTGTGGTCTAAAGATAGAAATTAAACTTTATAAGTTTTACAAATCTCTCAGTATGGGGTTTTGAATTGTGAATGATTCTACGTCAAGTCATAATTGAAAAAAAGGGAAAAATTTGTAGTTTGACGTCACATACTAATTAGTTAAGCACGCTATAGAATAATTTGGTACTCTTATTAATGAAAGTACGATTTACAAAGTGATACTTATCTAACGGGTTATCATAATTGGGACTTCATTGTTGACTACTCTCGAGGTCAAGAGATTCTGAGAGAGAGTCGATTTAGAGACACAAATAGAACAAAAAGATAATTAAGGACAAATCAATTGTGACTAAATCGGTAAAATATTGGCCAAAAGCGGTAAAATGTTCGGTTTCCAGGCTATCAACTCATATTTTAAAGCTAGTGATGAGACTGGCCTTGGTCCTGATCTTGCAAAAAAAACAAGACCTTTTTTGCGATAATTATGATATTCACGGACAGAAAATTGTTTTCCAAAACAATTTTGTTCGAAATACTTCTTAATTAATTGTTCTTGTGAACTGGCTTTATACAGGCATTCACAACCTTATGGACACTGAGCAGGGACGTGTAGAGGCGTTCAAAGCAAATTGAGCTTCCATTCAAGTTTTTTTCCATTCAAGTTAGCGAGAATTTTTTATCTCTTGTAGTTTTTTGTATTTGCCTTCGTTTTCGAGTTATTTGCACCAACATACGTCCATGTAGGGTTTCTGGGTGATTTTCTATGAATTTTCTTATAATTTTTGTTGTGTCCTTTTGTTCACATTTTTCGTGAACGCTTGAAGTGCAAGTTGAAATTAAAATATGGATGGCTGACGTGTTAACTTTAAAGTTGATTTTTTTACTTTAATCTTAAGTTTAAATTATTTGATTTTAATTTAATAAATTAAAGATGCTGTTCAAAAAGCGAAAGCTTTGAACAAGTGGGACAACTTTAGATTCTACTATTAATACGGAAGTCAAAAAGGAAACAGCCTGCTATTTTTTTTTGGTTTGCAGTAGCATCTGATATCTATCGCTTTTGTTGACCATCAGGTAAAATTTTATTGATTAATTTCAAACTCGCATTTTTAAAAACACTGTTTCAAATTTAATACAATATTCTTTCTAATTCTAACCTAATCGTAGACTATCTATAACTTAGATTAAACGGACT